TTGAACGGAGCGACAGGTAGACCGTTTATTCCGTATGGCAAACCCCGAGCGGATATTAGACGGTAGAGGGACACCGACCCGACGAGAGGTCGGGGAGGGTGATTGAGATAATTCGGTGGAGATGTGGGCTTCAATGTCGGGAATGGAAATTACTATAAGGGTATAAATCAGTATCTCGATGATAACAGTGACTCGTTAGAGGAGCTACTTACGAATATTCTCCGGCTTAATGTCGGTGTGAACCAAGTCGCATTCATCATGAAGATATTGGAGACCGAGCAGAGTTTGCTTGGCGATGACCTTGACGAGGGCCCGCGGTACTCCATGCTTCTTGTTACGTTCTATCAACGCCAGCAGATTCTCGCCAAGAGGCTCAAATACGATGCAGATATGGGAGGCCTCGGGTCCTTGGTGAGAAAAGGAGTCGAGAAAGGAGACAATGTGCTGGCGGCCAGGATGAGCTGGTGAAAACGATGCGACCCGAGAAAGGAGTTTAATCTCGTCTCTCGCCGTTTCTGCATATCGTCCAGCAGACTTGACGACCTTGAGAGCCGAGTGACGGTGAAGACTGCAGGAGAAAGTGGTGACAAAAGAGCAAACAAAGCATGATAGAAATACTTACTGGGCGTCTTTTACGAGCCATACAGTCGAGAAATGACCCCATCTGTCGATTGCGCATGATTAGGAAAACTGAAAAGGAGCCAGGGTAAAGGCTACGCACCCAAGTTTCCTTATAACCTTGTACCTATTATTCTTGAAGCTGTCGCTGAGTTTGACGGGCAGATATCCTCCTGCATTGTAATCTGCTGGGCTCTCCTCATCCTTGCACGAGGGCTCCTCTACGGGTAGGATTTTGGGGCCTGCAGAGGTTTCGACGTATGAATATCTGGCTGGAGGCTGCTGTGGAGCCATCTACAGCGCAGAGGAGAGGGCCGGGAGAAATGAGGAACGGAGGGTAGAGTGAGATGGACGGAGAGGATGTTGAGCGGTGGCGTATTCTCGGAACAGAAGGTCTGTGATTGGCGGCATTTTCCGGCACTGCACCGCCACAGGAGTATCCCTGCGCCAACAAACTACATCTGCCGCTTGTCTTTATTTTTTGTGGAATGTTCTGGGACATGCTGGTGCTGCCTTAATGGAGCCAGCAACTCGGGCAGTATCTGAATATTGTGCTGGTGGCAGCCAAATGATATTGTCGTTATCTCTACGTAGTTGATAACTACTCTCAGGGTAACCCTCGTGTCCGGTTTATCGCAGACTTAGCATATGGACGTCATCATCTCATGGTGGCAATCTCTGCCAGCGCTTAGCTGACGTTGTCTACTGTTGCCAAACGCCACTGTGGCGGCGATGCCGAGCGTCAAAACTGTTACCCATGCTCCACCTTTTTCGTTATTGTCTTCAAGAATGTTGGGCTTGGGGAACAATGCGTTATCGGTGCCCTGGACGCGACGAACAAGACGCGCATCGACGTCGGCTCCCGAGCCGGCGGTTCGTAACCACGTGCATCAGCAGTGCTTCTCTGTTTTACGATCATCATTATCGTGAGCGCTCTCTCCTACGATGTTGCCGACATCCAAGAGACCGGACATGGCGCCCAAGGAGTTCATTGGCGCGGTCGAGGACCACTGGGATATGTACAGGTGAGCATGTCGTCCATGTACCTTGGCATTCGCTCATTTCGCTCGTAGTGACCGTTCTGAGGACTATACTATCGGTTCTCCAATAGGATTCGGCGCATCTTCAATTGTCTACTCGGCAGAATATAAGCCTCAAGGATGTTCGTCTGCGATTCCATGCGCCCTCAAAGTTCTGGATCTTGACTCGCTTCCCCCTCATTCGCTGTCACTTCTGCAGCGAGAGACAACCCTGATGTCCCTGTCCAAGCATCCAAACGTTCTTCGTGTCCGTGGTTCGTGGATGGACGGTCACAAGCTCTTCATTGCATTGCGGCTAATGAATAAGGGTAGCGCCGCCGACGTCATGCACTATGGCTGGCCTGCAGGTTTGGAGGAAGACGTTATCCGTTGCATCCTTCGTCAAGCTCTCCTGGGTCTCAAGTACCTCTTTCACTCTTACTAGCATCCCGCAGACCACTTACTCTTCGCCTTAGCTATCTTCACATCAACGGATTCATTCATCGCGACGTCAAAGCAGCAAATCTATTAATCGACGACGATGGAACGGTCCTTTTAGGTGATCTCGGTGTCGCCGCAAACCTCGCTGAGGACACTTCTGCCAGCACTTCGAAATCACACACCGTGTCCTCGCGCTACGTCGCCTCTCCGCGTCAGCAGAATAGTTCTCATGATAGTCAAGGCAGTGCGGCGTCAGGACATAGTCCCCATGGCTCCACCAGACGTGTTGTACTCGTTGAACCTACCGCAACACACTCAAGACCAAAGATAGGAAAACGGAAATCTTTCGTTGGTACAGTAGGTGCAAGATATCTTCCGCTGTATCCTTACTTCATGATCCACTAGCCATGCTGGATGGCGCCCGAGCTCATTCAGGGGAAGAACTATGACTCTTCTGCGGATATATGGAGCTTTGGTATCACCGCCCTCGAACTTACCCAGGGCCGGCCACCCAGGTCCCGGGAGTCACCTCAAAAAGTATTGTTGAAAACGTACGCGTATTTCATTTGATTCTTCAGTATCCTTATTTCTATGGGAGCGTAGCATTCAAGAGGCACCTCCTACACTGGATAGGGATGGCGGCACATACAAGTACTCCCGTGCTTTTCAAGAAATGGTGGAAAGCTGTCTGGTCAAAGACCCATCGCACCGGTGTGTTTGTAAGCTACAACGGCATATCTCACTCACTCATTATCTTCTAGGCCAACTGCGGAACAGCTCCTTCAAACGCAGTTCTTCAAAGGAGCAAAGAAGCCTTCTTACCTGATCGCTACTATACTGAGCAAGTTTATAGCCTTTGGTTGTTCAATATGCGACTTATAGTATTTTCCCAGAGAATCTACCACCTCTGGCCCACCGGCAAGAACGTCGGGTAATCTCAAATACCCAAACTCATCGTTCCATTGATTCTTGGGATTTTGCCGCTACAATCCACTCTCTTGGAAGCGTTCCGCGTCGTCGTCTACCTGACGAGTCAGATAACCAAGGAGACGATGTGGTTTTCGAAATGGAGGGTGAAGGGGATCGAGAAAGCGGGAGAAGCAACAGCCACCCTGGTGCGGACGAACCAGAACGTCCGGTGCTCGTAGAAGAAGAACCAGAACCCGAAAGCGATTTGGTACAATCTTCCGCGTCTTCTTCGCACTCCGGATCGGATTTCCAAGGTACGAGTACCACGTCTCCCGAGATCGGGCTTTCCACGTCGCCGTTGTTTGTTCATGGGGACGCGGAACCGAAGACTAGCCAGCCAGTTAAAGAAATATCTACACCCATCTTCACCGCTATCATACCGCCGTCGTCGGTGCCCGTGAAATCCAAACTGAGCATATCTACTTCTCCGCCGCAACGCGGGCTCTGGAAGAAGATCAAGACAAATATAAGGCGATCATCATCTATTATAATGGTGCAAAAGCATCTGAAGGTTTGATCTCTTGCCATGTTTTCGCTTTCACGCGCTCACGCTTCTTTTATCAGGAAGACGTCAGCTAGGAATGACGGACTAACGACTGGATTTTATCCATCATGTGTAACGTCTATTTGGAGGGTATTCTAATCTATTCTTTGTTGCATAATTCTTTCGATACCCGTTTGTAGTACTTTAATACACAAGACAAAGAGACACTTAGATAGCACCACATGGTTACTGTAGATATTTAGATAACATACTAATAATGTGCATGGTTCATTCGAACGTCGAGTTCAAGAACTGTAGAAGATCCTTCCTATTAGCTTCCCGTTCATCATCCCCCTTCTCTTTTCTGACTTTCAACTTGATCTGGGAAACATGAATGAGATCGGACGGCCGCTAAGAAGAATAAAGGGAAAAACCTTTTTGCCCGTTAGAACGCTTCTCCGTTCTTCCTTGTCTTTGTCCTTCTTTCTATCCTTTTCTTTGCTTTTCCCTTTCTTCCTGTCCTTCTCATAGTCCCTGTCCTTGTGCTTTCGCGACTCCTTCTCTTTTCTTTCACGGGGTGACCTAGAGCGTGAACTACGCCTACGTTTCTTGTGGTCTTCACTTGAGAAGGAAGAGTATGATTCAGATGAACGACTACGTCGACGATGTTCATGCTCCTATAATGACAATAGTTTCCACTTTGAAGGTCAAAACAATGTTCCTCCAGGTGAGCTGATAAGAAAATGACGCACAGCTCGGTTAGACGTGCGCTTGACAAGGATGCGTCAGAATCCACACGGAAGAAACGGGCTTGCACATGCTCACAGAAGAGTCTCTATGGCGCTTAGATATATCCTTGGAATGTCGGTCTCGACCTCTCATGTTCCGGTCACCTTCGGGAGACTTCGCTGGCAAGGCATATCTGCGTTGACTGCCTTCCCCTCGTAGTTGATGTCGAGAGCGCGTAACATGTGCTTCGTCATCGGATGAATAATATCTTCTTTCCTTTTCTCTTCCGAGAGACCTAGAGCGGGAGCGTTCTTTGAGCATGTAGGATTGCCAGGTAAATAGCGTCGAGGGTCATGCGCAAAGGTTCATCAGGTCGGATGTGAGCACTCGTCGTCCATCTCACATGAAACACCTCACCATTTCTACGATACTCCTTGCTACTGTGCTCGTCGTAACGGCCTTGACGCATCGTGGTGGTAGTGGCGAAAGACAATGATCGCCGGATGCGGTTACTCATCACACGTTTTCATAAACCGGTTTACCGGTAGCCTGGCAAGTCCGGCTTTTTTATATACTCGCGGAATTCGTATCATGACTGAGCTTACCTCTCGCTGGAGTTACGATTTCCATCTGGATAAAACTTACCCGTACTCATTCACAAAGGAAAAATACTCTGCCTAGTACTTACTACTACTAAGTACTTGTATGAAATCAGAAAAAGACAAGCAATGAACAAAAAATGACCGACGCAGGGGTCGAACCTGCAATCTCCTGATTTGATAATGAAGTCACATCCATCGTAGTCAGACGCGATGCCATTTCGCCAGACGGCCATACTGATGTGATTCAGATTTAGATTAATGGTTATAAATAGTCTGATGTCTTCTACCATTGCAGTTTCCCTGGCCACTCCCTACTTCATTACATGGGTATACCCATGGAGCCTTCCATTAGTTGGAAGGGTCTGGCATCTCTCAGTTGGAGGAAGATCTCACTTCCATCCAAGAACCTGCCGACATTGATATCACCTTCAACTTCAACGACACCAATTCCATACCACAGCATCCCCTGAAAACACACATACGTACTGGTCGGTGTAACGATACAATTATGCAATTCAGAAAAGTCGTAACAGCAAACACGAGATGACTGTGACAAAGGTTTCTACGAGTCTAACTCAATGCCACTCTGCCATCGGCATTCTGCCCATAGGTCTTCGGCGGGCCCCCATCTTATCCTCTCGACTGGCTGTGATTATGAGGTGCTTATCAACGAGCTAAAATCCAGAAGGTCATTCAGACTGAAATCGGTGAAGCTCGGTGTGGGACGCACATCATTCAAAATGCTGGTCGATTTGGTCAGAGATGACAGAAAAGCTGTGATCTGAACATCTTCGTATTCCTATTCCAATCCTACTATCAGCGACGTAAAGACAGAATATAGCAGAATCTCCAACCGTATCGAACTCCTCGCGGAATGCTTTATTTTCAGTTGCAGGAAGTGAGGCTACCAACGCCGAGATGGATCGAAGTATAGCTTGATCCTTAGGCGCCGTGCCTACGTAGGAATGCACTCAATAAGAGAAAGCACCGATGAGCGTCACCCTACCTGCTAAAGCCTCTGTGACATAGTGAACCAAAATGACGATTCTGTCATGGAGCATTTTGACAGCCGCTCGTTGCGTTTGTAAATGCGATTCCACTACAGACGATTTCAATATTACAGAGCCAGCATAGGGAACAAAAACATACAACTCGTGCCACTACCGCCACCGCGTGCAGTCCAGTCGACAGCGATCCGTTCGGCTTCACCTGTCTCTACATTGTACGACGCCTCAACGAAGACTGGACGAGACAGGCGGTCCCTAATCTCGATCGTTGGCTCATAGGCTTTGAAAGGAAGTGTTTGATTGCCATCGGAGCCAGTGGAAATATTACTGGAAGATTGAAGGAGGAGGAGGAGAGGCGTCGAGCAGTATCCTGTGAACTATTACCTTTGTAAGATAAGTGTAAGCCGGAGGATCAAGTTGCGTACTTGTGAATGAAGTGCGATATGACGCGAAGATGGTCCGGGAGCCACTGTGTACCAGCCGATGAATTCCAAGGAGGGGAAGACTTGCTTGTCTATAAAACGCCATGCATTTAATCAATGATGCATCTTGTTAAATGAGGCTCACGTACACTGGTCACGCCGCGATACCAAGAAAGAATGATCCACTGTAGCACCATCCTCTTCGACAGCCAATTCAAAGGTATTCACGATCTCCACATCTCTCCCGTTCTGAGTGCCCAGCAGGGCTCCAAGGACTGCAACAAAGTTCGAGTATATTCTCGCAACATCGAGACAGGACATACGACTCACTGAACGGAGTAGAGGTGTTTGTTTGCAGTTTCCGTCGCGTCAAATGTTCAGAAATATTCAGAATCGGTAAGGGATGCCTAACGGACAAAGTCAATCATTGAGGGTGTAAGTCAAAGCCGCCTTTACAAAGATATCGATAGACCCGATGTTGTTGTGGATGGGAGTACCACAGAGATTTCGTCTGTATCCATGGCGCTCATCGTCGTCAATGATAATGAGGGTTTGAGACGTAAGAAGCGCTTCAATGTCTTGACCTATTTCCATAGTGCGATATATCAATAGAAAGGATATACACATCGCCCGCCTAGCTCAATCGGATAGAGCGTCAGACTCTTATGACTCCTAGGCGGATCTGAAGGCTGCGAGTTCGACCCTCGCGGTGGGCTAGAGTACTTTTTGTTCCCTACGTTGTAGGCTTGGGAGTCCTGACTCTTCACCGACTCCTCAGTCGTCGGCGGTCGCCTAGTACCTATCCAAGCTTTCGGTTGAATAGGCTTCCCAACAGGCTGAGTTATCTTATTGTTTTCCACTCAGTGATGGTGAGACCCCACTTCATAAAATTCCGACATTCAGAAGATGTTGTTTCTCAATTTTCGCGTTACGCTCTTCGACACTATGTAGTCTTTAACTGAGTCGTTTCCAGTCGGTGCTCCTGAGTCCAGATAACCAGCGGCAACCACTGTTGATTAGTAGACCATCTACATAAAGGACTGTGTCAACTGAATGTGATGACAGTAGTGCGATACAAACAACACAAATAGTACACAAGAAATAAATTGATCATACATCCGATCTAGTTGATCACGCCACAGCATCAGGTTATACTCCAACTCTGTACGAAGCAAAATCAGTATCAGGGATGAAAATATAACAACGTTGCGCACCTATGGACGACCTTTTTCTGTGAACATGAAGAAACCTGTTAGACCTGATATGAACGGCAATGTTTGACACCCACCTGTCCGGAAAACCGAATCACCTCCCGCTTCTCCAGGATATACAACGTCCTCTCAAGTGCATGGCTAGAGTACCCCTGCTGCGTTACGAACTCCTTGATGAGACTCTGATAGCTAGTTCGCCACCCGACAGGTAGACGTCTCCTCAGCTCCTTCTCTATACGCGTCATCTCTTCATTCAGACCTCCTCGCGAGAGGCCATCGGCAGAACCTGCAGACACGGCATCCATGGTAGAGAACTTGAACAGCCGTATAGCCTCTTCTACGTGATGGTTTTGCACAACAGGTGCGAGTGTCATCTTCGCCAAGGACTCCGATATACGGATTATCGCTTCAAGTTGACGAACGGTGATAGGTATGGAGCTTCGCTCGTCGTTATCCTGTTCCACCTGCTGGACCTGTTTCCGTAGACTAACGAAATGACTGCTGAGCATCTCCTGGGCTTCGGGAGATAGTCGGGGGGCACATTTCCTGTAAAGGTTTCGATGATAACACAGATGAGCAGACAAGATATCTCACTGTTTGCAATAGGCAATATATCGCTTCATTTTGTCCAAAGGTAATTCTCCTTCACCATTCTCGTCTGTGAGGTTATTAGGCCTGTTCATATGAACATTCAAGACGTGTTTCGCAATAGTCTGCAGAAAAATGTGTGAGAACTAGATGGAACACTGCAAATTTTAAGCTAACCTTGTCTCGTGTCTCATCATGTTCATCCTTGACGATAAAGATCATATCGAATCGAGAAAGGATGGTAGTTTGGAAATCAATGTTCTGCAAAGAAATATTCCAGCTCAATTTCATGCCCAAGGAAGAAACACACCTCGCCCGGACTGCGTCCTTCGTCGTAACGACCAAAGACTGGATTGGCCGCCGCAAGGACACTGGTGCGTGTGTTCAACACCGTGGTGATTCCCGCCTTGGCAATAGATATGGTTTGTTGTTCCATGGCTTCGTGAATTGCAACGCGATCCTCATCCCGCATCTTGTCAAACTCATCTATACACACGACTCCTGTGTCTGCAAGGACCATGGCACCCCCTTCAAGATAAAATTCCCTCTACACCGCCGTTACTCCATCAGCCAGACTTTGGGATAGCAAGCTGGTACGCACCGAAACTGTATCTCTTTGTACCGATGCTGTCAGACCAGCAGCACTAGAACCCTTTCCAGATGTGTATACAGCGATGGGTGCCACCTTTTCCACAAACTTGAGCAGTTGACTCTTTGCGGTACCAGGATCGCCAAGAAGCAGGACATTTATGTCGCCACGAAGCCGCATACCGTCCGGTAGAACTTTCTTTGATCCTCCGAATAAGAGGCAGGTAATAGCCTTTTTGATGTCTGTCATGGCATTAGTATATGAGAGCTTTCAAGACTAAAGGTTGCAATATACCAAGACTTCCGTAGATGCTGGGACCAACACTCTTAGCAAATCGTTCATAAAAACCTTCACTCCGCGCCATTTCATTGAACTCCTCTTCCTCCTCTGGGGTGAACTGCACTCCAAACGGGTTGGAACCACCTGAACCAGCGGCGGAGGGGGAAGACATTTCGAGGTGGACGACACGGAGGTATGGCTTTCGAGTAGCCGCAGCGCCGGCAGATTTCTAGTATGACGTTAGAAGCTATGCATATGCAAGGAATCAAAGACCTACATCCCGTGCAGCTTGGAAGGTCGAGTATATGCCAGTAACGATAACTCTCGAGCCTGGCACAACTTGCCCCGTCAGGTATCTGTCCGCCGAGAGGAGCATATGCTTCGGCAGGTCACCAACGGGCACCATGTCCGGCGCTTCTTGAAGTTTCAGTGTCTGCTGGTCAGCAAAGGTGGACTTTGAGTGGATGATGAGATACGGATCCAATGGGCAGTCTTTCTTCTGCCCGTCGAGTGGAGGCTCTTCGCACCTCCGAGGCAATCCAGATCCGGTTCCATACCCAAGGCCTCCAATTCCTCCGGGTGGGTATATAGTCTTGACAGAACGACACGCGCGACACTGGATGTGTAGCTTCGTCGCCCTGGATGAAAGGACAGAAGCTGAGATGACTATTCCTGGGACCCTGACGAGTTTGTTGATGGTGTTAGCGGTGAGATCACGGAATTGGAGGAGGTTAAGGCCAGAGCGAAGAGTTATCTGGACTTTGTCGATAGACTCGGCGACTGCATTGACTGCTTCATCAGTGCCGGCGAGAGGATAGAGGATGGTTTTGGCGGCACGAGTAGCAGCGTTTTCAAACTATACAAGCTAAGCGTAGATCAGAAACAGAAGGGTATCACGTACGAGTGGCAGGACATCTGCTGGTCTATCCTGAATCGCATGTGCCAGCTCGTCGTTGTAGAGGCTGACGTGCCTAAGGTCAACTTCCAGAACGTTCTGCTTCAGAAGAAGATTCCCGCGAAGCATGTCCCTGTACTAGTGTGAATCTCCAAAGACTCCGAGTATCAGCACCGGCTGGCGCACCTGTAGATGAATTCTCCTCCGACGCGATACTGCAGCAAAAAGTCCAGTAGTAGTTTCTCCGTATCAGAAGCCGACTCTGGCGCGGTCGGTGGTGGTGGGTCGTGGACGGAGACGTTGTAGACATTGTTCGCGTCAAAGCCAGACATGATGGGGGTGAGTGACCAAGCAGGAGGTAAAAACGAGTGGGCTCAGTGACAATAACGAGCTTTAGGGCAGGCCATTTCGCGTGATGCTTATGTCAGCAGCAAGCCGTTTCAACACAGCCATCACATTTTGCCCTCGAACCCACTACTCAAATGCCTTGATCCCTTAGCGTCTGCGTCTTAGCATCTCCGACTGTGTGGAATATATTTGACACGTTCAAATCCAAATACTTGTTTTGCCCTGGGTGGCCGTCCATATTTCATCTCGGACTTGGCATATTCAATTCATGACAGTGGACATGTAGATGTTCCATTCCTACGCGATTTCATCACCGATTTTTGTGTATAGGATGAGGACTGTGCCTGTCTTGTGGCCTTGCCGACATTGCTCCCTTCATGGTCTATTTCCCGACCATATCTCTCTGCGCAGCGATCGTCACCTCTATCGTCGTTCTGTCTGTCAAGGGCCCAAGTTCGCTCTTTGGAACGGTTAAGCCACCTCCTGGCAATAAATATGACCGCATACTCTTGTGTTGTTATGTCCAGTCACAGCGCCGTCTGTGGATACCTTGCCACTGTCTTCCATTACTTCCAACATCCTATTCACGCTCTCCAATTATTACTCTTTCTACTGATTTCCCACAACCGAAAATTCCTGGCATAACTACGAGGCCAAAGTGTTCGACAACATCTTCATCAAACCTGCGTGGCGTTTCCCTCTACTTCTGTCGAATGCACACTTCTGGATATGGTCCAGGTTGCACTCAAGAAGAGCTTATCACTGGACTCTCGGTGCATTGTGCGTGGATCCGCCCGTTCCTGCCAATGCTGCTCTCCTTGCAAGGGGCGTCATCCCAAGAAGTCTATGGAAGGACGAACGACACTAAGCACATCTTGTCGACCTTATCGATAACGATGAAGAACATATCTTCATATCTTCCTACTGATGGATGTCGCATAGAAAACGACTTATCCCGATAACGTCTCCCTGATTTCATCCCTGGAAACCTCTTATGCGGGCTGCACAAAGCTCGTGTTGGGTTCATCTCCCTTCCGGCTAACGCGAAATAGATTTATGTCCCAATTTGGGGGACCCGGGCATCTTGTGGCGATCCAGAGGCGAAGACAATCATCATGGCTATGGCTGGTGCACTGTCCGGGGTGACAGTGAAGATCTGCGTTAATGATACACGTACAATTTCGGATGGGCGTATGAGACACGGAATCTCGCGAACAGTCTTTTCACACTGATCGGGGCGTGTCGCCACTGGCTAAGGAAGTGTGGGCATGCTTAAATGGGACTGCTGCAACGGCTTCAGGTTTCGCTTTTGAATCGCTTCGACAGGTTAATGGTAGATAGGTAATTGCTCGCATACCCATGCGATCTCTGTGCAAGTCATGAGGCTGATTATTGATCGTACCCATGATCTCTAAAAGCCTCACAATATAGTTAGTACTATTGAACCAGTATTATGGCCTGCCTAGCTCAATCGGATAGAGCGTCAGACTTTTATGGCGGGGTCACCGATCTGAAGTAATATCTGAAGGCTGCGAGTTCGACCCTCACGGTGGGCTACTTACATTTTGCTTTGTGAACTATTCACTAAGTTTTGTACAATGTAAGTTTTGTTACGACTGTAACAGACTGGTTATTGAGTGTCCCGAAAGTGCAGCCGATACCTCAAGGGGTAAGTTACCATTTTTTTACCGACTCTCCCTAAGGGGTGTTTTATACCGCTACTTACCTATGACTGACGCGCTGCAATTGTCTTTTTCGCGTTTTTTACACCTGTTCTTTATCTCAGGAGCTTTAATTCATTTGACATCCATGAGTTTACCTTGTAAGTATGTAGCAAATACATTTAGTTGTAGTGATTCTTATGCTTGACTGGCAGCCACATAATTACCTCGACTCTCTCCAATGGGAGGTAACTTACCGGACTACTCTAGGTGTATGGAAACTTAGGTAGGTCCTCGCCTGTTACCTATCAACCATGATCATTACTGCGAATGAATTTCGATAAATCAGTAATAAAACTTTATTATTGGCATTATGGTGAGCTGATTTCTAAAAACTAATGTAGCGAAATGACATGTAAATTTCAGGCCAGGGAAGTTGCGTCGTCAAAAACTAAGTTGCTGGCGCTGCTGAGGTACCGGCCCTAGTTCCGGGGTTTGGGCAGTTAACTGCCCCGATGAACCTTTGAAGCCTTTTATTTTTTGGGGGCTTTAAATTTTTGTGGCTTTAACAGCGGCTTTACTTACCGGCCAATAACAGTCGGAAATCTAGTGCAGGCCTTCTTGCATTTCCTTTGTTTACTCCACCTGTCTGAAGCCGTGGGTGGGAGAAACGGTACATCCTGCGACGTTTAAACGGTAGATATCCGGGGGACGGTCCGAGTCTGATTCATAGAGTCCGGTCAACGCACAACGTCTGTCATTTTTGTAGACGTCGATGTCAAGGGAGACCTAGCCCAAGAGCTGAATATTCAAGGTCAAGTCGCTATTTCGGTATGTTCTTGAAGTGTAGACCTACGTTGTTATGACGAGGACTGTCAGATGCGATCACAGACGGCAAAGATATGCATGTTACGCTACATTTTGGGTTCAGTTGGAACGGGGAGGTTCACTTGCCGAGGAACAAAACAAAGAACAGAAAATCATTCTGAATTACACATGTGGCGCGAGACGGTCACTGATAATAGACAGACTGGGAGAATCTTGGAATCTTGAACAATCCTTGGAAGTTGAACTTGGACTATCGTAGTGACTCCCATTGCCCTCGTCAAAAACTAACACAGTAGCCCACCGCGAGGGTCGAACTCGCAGCCTTCAGATCTAATACCGCCACCTTGGACATCCTAAGAGTCTGACGCTCTATCCGATTGAGCTAGGCGGGCCGTGATAATCGGTCCAGGGCGCGGCAGAGGGACGCGAATCATTTCAGGAACCGGCGTGAAGACGGACAACCCAGTGGCTCAAGAGCCAAGCCCAAATGCAGCATGACGACCGGGAAAGACACTGGCGATGAATGCGACAAGGCGGACTAATGCGAGCTGACGGTCGGATATATGGCCGCCGAGCCGGTGCGAACTATCGGAGTCCGGTACAGACTAAGGGTAAAAAAAGGAAAAGACAGAGGCAAAAAGGACGAGAGAACAGTGTCAGTAAGCAATGAGAAAGGACGAGGTAAGCGCTGAGATCGCAGCAACACGCAGTAAAAGGATGGTCGAGAATAGGTGGAAACACGGGCAGTGCAAGTGGACGTGAGAGAGATGACTAAGCGGAAGCGCAGCAGTCATATTTGGCAATGACATTTCATAGATTGTTAGCTTTCGACCCCCACCACGTCCGCAGCAACGATGGCCTCCGCTTTTACTTTCGACAACTTTGACTATTCCAAGCCCAATACCCAGCAGGGCCTTGATTTTCTGTCCTTTGCAGCGCCCTTGGACGTTGTAGCACCCCATCCTGACCTCTTCGAGAGCGAGCTTGACTCGAGTCTCGCTGGAATCGACCAGGCGCAGTTGCAGCTGCTCACGGTCGACTCGAACGACGCCTACTCGTTTTTGCGATCGGACACGCCTACACGGGGACCCCCTTCTGCAATCACAGAGAGCTCAGCACGGAGCTCAGCCTATGAGAGCTCCTACGACTCTGCATATGAGTACCCTGCCTCCAACTACTCCTTTCCCTTAGACCTTGAGATGGACTTTCAACGGATCAGAGTCGACGCCCTCAGCGACTATTCTCCTGCCAATGTCGACCCCACCTCCTTCGGCTCCTTGCCCCCGACTCCACCCCTTTCGCCGCCCTCTGCGGCTGCGAAGCAGTACGTAGCTCGCACCAGCTACTCTGACTACGGACCGCCGTCTAGGTCGGCCGGCTACTACTACAGCATGGGTCAGGCCACCGTGTCGCCGTCGCATATCTCGACGCAGCTTCCGGTGGTGCCCAACGTTCCCCCCATCCACGTCGATGACCACAAACAGGACCCACGCAAAAAATACCAGTGTCCTTCGTGTCCAAGAGGCAAGTAGCACTCCCTTTCTTTCCTTCTTCCACTGCTAACCTCTCTCTCCTTCTGCAGCCTTTGCCAGGGCCTACAACCTCAAAACTCACATGGCTACTCATGATCCCAACCGTCTTAAACCACACGTCTGTCCCCACCGCTCGTGTGGCCGCTCCTTCTCCAGGAAGCATGATCTCGGCCGTCACATCATCTCTATCCATCGCGACGAGTCTGTCGCCAGCTCCCACCACTCCAACTCGTCTAAAAATTCCATCGGTGTCGAACAGGGAAATCGGTCCTGGTGTGACGTCTGTGGCAAGGGCGCAGTCGGCCGCAGTGCCCAGTGCGACTGCGCGGAGATCAAGTAGAGCTTTAAATAATGATCCCGTCTAAATCTATGTGTGTCCTCTCCCCTCTGTTCACCGTCATGTCCTCAATCCTGCTCCAGCCTTGGCTTGTCCAACCCCCATGTCGTCTGACATCCTGCACGCCGTGCGCTTTTCGACCGAACCAATCTTCGTACCGCCTCATGGCCCAGTGACGGACTTGGTCTCGAATTGATTTTTTAAATCACTTATTTCGCATAGTATCTAAATATAATCTTCCGGAAATCCCAGCTCGCTTAGTTTTTCTCCTCCGTTTACAGAATGTAATATCAAATGATCATTATGAAAACACGTTGCTCTCGCTCCGGTGCCTCGCGCTTTTTAGTTCTGCAAGGATCACTAAGTATCCTTAGGTATCACTGTTTCAGTCCTGTGGGTGTCGGTAGGTGCATGTCATGCCCAACGCTTCTCCTTGCTTCTCTTCTCTTCTCTTGGCAAGAGGAGAAACACGTCTCGTCTCTTCACGCCGCAAAGAACATTCCAATTCGCGAACACTAAAACATGCTTAGTACAATACAATCGATGCACGGCCAACTAAAGTCCAGACATGCGGTACCCGGCCCTAATTTCACGTCAGGCCGCCCCAAGACACGACGGCATATGTATTAGCGACCAGAACCACTACCCATATCCCATACGCCACGACGGCCAAGATCCACCCGTTGCTATGGTCTTGTCCGCCCTCCACGCGCATGACGCGCCTCGAGGACGTGAGCCAGATGAGCGGGAACGCCACGAACGGCAGGACAACGCTCAGGATTACCTGAGAAACGACAAGGAGACTGTCGATACCAGCACGGCCCACAGCAACGGCCACAACCACTGAAGGTACTAATGCGAGTGCACGGGTAAGCAGACGCCGAAGGAAAGGCGACACACGCCAGTTGATGAATCCTTGCGACACAATCTGGCCCGCAAGAGTAGCTGTTATCCCCGATGTTTGTCCTGCCAAAATCAAGGCAAGGGCAAATACAAAGGCGGCGCCTAGGTTTAAGGAATTAGGCACCATTTTTGTCTTAAATAATTCAAACTGTATACCCTTGCCGATCCTCGCTTTTATCAAATCGTGGGCATCAAAGAGGCCGGCTACGGTGATATCATCTGCATCTGCATTTGACTCGGGGACAGAATAAAATACTGTGGCGGCCATAACCAAAATGCTGAGCCACCGTCTCTCGTCAATCGCTTAGAGAATTCGGATTTGAAAGAGACTTACGCCGAATTAATCGGGACAGCCAGAAGTAGTAAACTTGAGATGACGTCTACCATTTCATGCTTGAGGTGCTGTCGTATGAATCCCGGAGAGTGGTTTTCTCTCTTCGCCTCGACGATGCGAATGTCTGTGTCCGTAGTAGACACCGCGAAAAGCTCTTTAATTCCCTTTCTGACACGTGAAGAAAGGTTGTATAGAGGAAGGTCGGGTTCAGTGCCCTGATCTGGACGTGGAAGAGGCGAGTGCCGGTCTTGAGTCGCCATGAAAGAGCCTAGGAAGAGAGCGTGCGGCATGACCGTTGCACCCAGAATTCCTACGGCTGGTTTTTCATGGTTAGCCGGAGTACAAGGGTCGACGAATTTATATACCTGAGTAGACGGCATCTGGGTCGGATTTGAAGAGTGCTTTGGAAGGTATATACCCCATAAACACTCCCGGCCAATCAGGCTTAACTTTGACAATGAGCACAATGAAGCAAGCGAACACCGACATGACCAGAGCGATAACGGCCACTTCAAATAGTCGGCTATGCTTGCGGGTGGGGTCAGAGATGAGGAGAAAGACAAAGACATCGAGAGCCGTGATTACTACTCCTGCCCAGAGTGGGAGGGATGGAAAGATGAGACAAATTCCAATGGCGGATCCTAAAAGCTCTGCAAGGTCGGTAGCGATAATGGCTACCTCTGAGAGAACGTATAGAGGGTAGAGAACTAGGCGCCGAACGAGAAGAGGGTGCTTAGGATGATCGTGCAAGAGGAGCCTGCAGTGGGCTGCCAGGTCAAGGCCTGTTACGCATCCCAGTTTACAGGACAGCGTCTAAAGACCGCATCAATTGCCAAGATCCTTTAAGATGAAAGAGGCAGCACTTGTAGGACAATAGCGCCCAAACCGGCCATGAGAATGACAAACAGCATCGGCCTGTAGCCAAAACTCGAGCCTGCCTGGAGATCAACGCTCCAATTGC